AATGCCCAAGTGTGGACCTAACTGACCTACACACCATTTAAAGGGTCTCATTAGTCCATCCAACCAGTCTACAGTTAATCCAAAACCTGGTGCTATCTCACAGTCTACCAAGGGTGGGACCAGAGAAGCCAGGGAAGGAGAAAACAATGAAAGTCCTTCATTCTTTTATGAGGAAGAATTATGAAAGAGAAGAAATAGATCTACTTTATTTCTTAAAAAGCCACACTATTTGTAAAATGAAAAATATAAGCCTGTAATTCCAGTGACTCATGAAAATGGGGTAGGAGGATTGTAAGATCAAGGCCAGCCTCACCAACTTAGTGAGACCTTATCTCAAAATAAAAAATAGAAAGGGCAGCTGGGGATACAAATTAGTGATAGAGCACTCTAGAGTTGAAAACAAAAAATCTGTACCTCCCATCACAAATGTCTATTGGTCTCCCTAATACACAGAATACCTAAAAAGATATGAAGGACTCAACACAAGGAACCAAGAATATAAATAGTTTACAGGAAAAAATTCAATGTCTTTCAAATATATAAAAAAGATGTCCAACTCCAATTAAAAAATACACAGAGGCTAATTTTCCTAATACACTGCAAAGTACAAATATAAGACAATGCCATGCTGAGGAAGCCTGGAGAGATGAGGCGTGTCATTCACTGCCCACGGAGGATCAGGTTGACATCACAATGCAGGGCAGTGTGTATGGAACAACAAATGCACCAGGCATGGTGAGACATGCATGTAACCCTGTGATTCAGAAGTCAGAAGACAGAAGTAGGAGGATTGCAAGATTGAAGCTAGCCTCAGCAACTTAGTGAGCAAAATAAAAAGTAAAAAAGGGCTGGGAATGTAAGCTCAGTAGTTAAGAATTCCTGAGTTCAATACCCAGTATCAAAAAAAATAAAATTTAAAGTGACAAATGCCTAATAGTTCCACAATTAGACCAGATGTAGAAGGTCATCCACTCAACACTAGTAGCAAGACTAAAACAGTCCTGAATGGAGGACACAGTCCCTACAGTATAACTGGGAAGAAAGAATAAACAGCCTGTCAACATAAAACTAGCAAAAAGGTATTCCATTAGGGGCAAGGACCACTATGTACACAATACTCTCATTTATGTCATAGGACAAAAGGGAGGATAATTGTTGCTTTTTCTGGGCCTAGGGCTGGGCTAAGTAATAGCACACTTGCCTGCCATATGTGAGGTACTGGGTTTGATTCTTAGCACTGCATATAAATAAATAAAATAAAGGTCTATCAACAACTTAAAATTTTTTTAAATTGTTGCTTTTTCCTTTTATATGTTTTATTACTTTTTTAAAAAGCTACTAAGGATGGAGAAAATAGGCAATCCAGGGCTAGAACTAAGAAAGTTTAAGAGACCAGAAGGCCTTTACAGTACATAGCTTTTTATAACTATCAATAACAATTATTTTGAATGTTTAACAATGTGACCATTCTGACACACAGAGTGTGGAACTGCATGGGCAGTTCTGGCATCTGGATTACATGACTTGGGAGTTTTCAGTTGGGAAGCAGAGCATGCAGCTCCCAATCTGGTTCTCAGCAAGAGAGCTATGGGCACAGAGGTGCTCCTTATCCTCATGGTGGGGTTAGCTCATTGTTTCCACAACAAGAAGAAAGAGACAGGTGGGCAGCTAAGAGCCTACAATACTCTACCTAGAAGATGGTGGACTCTGAGTTCTTTTGTTATCTTTCATTTTGCTGGGGAAGCGATACTAGGGTTTAAACCCACAGGGGCTTTACTACTGAGCTACATAACTAACCCTTTTTACTTTTTCAGATAGGGTCTCAGTAAGTTGCTGAGACTGGCTTGAACTTGCCATACTCTTGCCTTAGCCTCCCAAGTCACAGTGATGATAGGTGTGTGCCACCATGCCCAAAGCTATGGGTTGAATAACAAAGGAGTTTATGTAAGATTTCACATGGAAAACTGTAGTTTGAAAGTCACAGTATTTGATACCAATACAAGACAGGACTGCCACTTTCCAATCCCTCATCCTTTACTTGCCCTGATTCCTTCCTCGGAGGAAACAAATTTCACCAATTTCCTGCCTCTCTCATTCATTTTCATCCAAAATCCTCCCTGCTTGTAGATCATCCCCTACTCCAACGTTCCCTGAAGCTTCCATCACCTAGAAGCATGGACATTCTGCTGTCTCGGCATCTTTCAACTTACCCAACTCTCAGCTACTCAGCTTTTATTTAAACACCTCCAATAACATCCCCTCTCCTTTCCCTACCACTCATTTCTTAATCCACCACCATCTGGCCAGACCATTTCTATACCACTTGAAACTACACTCCCAACTTCACAACTGATCAAGTCAGAATTCAGAACCATAATCTAGTGTTATTCTTAGCATACAAAAACACTTCCTAGCCAGTACTTCCTTTTTCGATCTCTTCCAGCCTGGCTTCCTTGACAACATAATTCTGCTTCCATTTTTGCCCTTCCACCCTTCAGACTTCCTTCTTCAAAGTGTGCACCTCTGAAACAGGGAAGATTGCACAGGCACAAATCAATAGGACACCAATGGCTACCACTAGGAATGTCCATGACTACCAAAAGAATGGAACATAGTTACATTGACTGGGCCAATAGCTAGGAATGTCAGTCTCAGAGAAAAATGTGCAGGTGTTTGCAGCGCAGGATAGGAAATCCTTGCCTAAGCTAAGCACTCCCTTTTCCTTTTAAGTATTTGCTCTACACCAAGTAGTAGAGGGTTCAAGGAACATCGATCTTGATTAAAAATGGTTTTTAGAGGAGTACAAAGGTCAAGTTAACAATGAACCTATTTCTCTCAAAAAGCTACAAATGCCTCAACATAACAAGTGCCAGAAAATAAAACCTCCTCTGTTGGGTAGAAACATCTCATATATCGAATGGGAACTCAGGAAATTCTTGGGGAGCTCACCACCTGACATCCCTAGTGATATCATGTGTGGTCTGAGGCAATTCATGCAAAGAGCCACATATCAGAAAACATGTCCTCGTATCAAACCCAGAAAACCTATGGTTGAACCATGTAACTACTCAAGACACTTCATGCAAACAAATCCATATTATCTCAGATTTGAAAATTAATAAACTAAAGTTCCAGGTATGCTAAGGAGGGGTGTTGGGGAGGGAGCCTGTGGACACTTACTGTGTGTGGTGTGCTCGAGGACAGTGCTGCCTGCGCAGAGGAGAGGCTGCTCTGGTGACTGGAGAGTGAACTAGAAGACAAAATAGAGCACCCTGTGTCCATCCAAACAGGTACCCAAACAGGTTATTCCAAAAGAACGAAGCACACTGGGCTCCCAAGGTTATATTCCTGCTTGGCCCTATCCCTGGGGAAGCCTCCACATCAGACCTCATGCCCTTGGAACCAAGTGACAGGATCCTGGTTGTGAGAAATGATCTAAAGTCTCACTCACAACAAGATCTGATATCTCCTGGCCTAGGAAATCTATAGAGGAAAATTCAGTAAACTATAACTCTTTCCTCTTCAAGCAATAGAAAAAGTGAAAACAGGTCTCTATGAATACTGTCCTGCGCTAAGAGCTCATAAAATCTTTGAATGAGTGAAGAAAGGTCTGTGTTCAACCACATATGCCAGAGTCAGAGCCTGAATTTCAATCAGATTCAGAGTTCAAATAAAAAGCTTTTGCTCCCAAGGGAAAGGGTCAAGATGGAGCGCTACACAAAAGATATAGGTAATAAACAACCCCATTTTCCTACACCTATTCAAATAACTTCTTCTCTGGAGTCATGACAAGTATTAAGTCAGACACCTGCTCAGAAATCCAACATCATTCACATTATATATCAGTGATATGGGTCCAGAGCAGGGGACAGGCTATACTCAGGGTGTCTGCCTGATGTCCAAGAAGAGTCACAGGGAACCAAAGGCCCATTCGATTCCAGGAGAACCAGTGCTCTGTGCCAGCAGAAGCATTATAAGACAGCAAGATTTTTCTATCTGGTGGTATTTGACTTGATCTGGGCAAAACCTAAGCTAGAGTATTAATTCAAAAGCCCAAGATGTCATGTCAGAAGCAACAAGTATGTTTTGTTCGGGGAAACAACCTTCTACAGAGAATCTAGGACTTTGCCCAATGTACTTCTCACTCTGGGCCCACCTTTCCCCCATACCTGCTAAGCTGAGAGAGGGGGTTGCTGGACAGGTCACCAGGCTGGGACAAGGAGGGCAAAGTGGCAGTGTGCTGGGATGCGGAGGGCAGAAGCACGGTGCAGGAGGTGGTGCTGGGCAGGGAGCTCACAGATGGGAGGGCAGAAGGAGGGTCTGTTGTCTTTGGAGCTGGAACGGATGAAGTAGCTGTAAGAAACAGATCTGTTTAGCTCCAGAACCAACCCTGAGTATCAGAAATCTGTGCAGTATCTTGTGACATGTCACACTCAGTGAAATATATACAACATTAATATTTCCTAGGACAATGCCCAAGCATGATGCCAAGATGGTTCCATCTCTGTATAATAAGACTACCAAAAGGACAGGTGATGCTCAGACATAGAAGATTGAAAGAGAAAGCAGTGACACTTTTATAAAAGTAAACTGTCCTATAGAAACCTGACCCTTGGCAGCAAACAGGAAGGAAGAGATGTTGAGATTGGCAGATATATAGAGTGAAGCAAATTTTCCTCCAAAGGACAGTAAAGGAAAGTAAAAAATTGACTGGCAAGACCACCAAGAGTACATATCATATACCCATTCAGGCTGACATTATCAAAAGCTCAGAGCCAGTTCAGGGCAGAGGGAAAAAGGCCTGAATGTAGACACTATGAAGAGATCTATGTGCCTAAAATCGACAAGAAGAATACGTACCTGCAGTCCAAACACATACTTTTCAAATGCTTAGTGAGAATTTCCTTGCTACATGCATCAACAGATTAATCTCAGAGCACATAAGCAAGCTTATCAATTACTAGGCTTCAGAAAGCATGTGGATACAATCAACCCCACCAGTGGAAAAGACTCAGTTTTTGTGCTATCCACACATACAACTCAGATATGTGCTTGGAAATACATCACCGTCTTTTCCAGTTAGGAAGGAAAACAGCTGTACCTTCCAGCATGACTCCTGTGAACCCACAGGGAATTCCGTACTCAATAGTCTAACTGGAAGGGGAAGTTCAAAACAAAAAAAAAAGGCAGGTAGGCACACAGCCAGGTCAACTCTTTCCAGGATCTTCCCCACTGATAGTCTATTCCAAAGATGAAACCAGATGAAGATACCACTAATGTACCTCCCCGACAACTAAGACCCCAAAAGGTACTTCCCAGGGCAATGGATGACATTGCTAACAGACTCATAGTGAGCCATTCTCTCAAAGAACAAGAAATAGGGCCACAAGAGGAAACAAAGAACAAATTATGTAAAATAAAGACAGCTGGGCCCAGTGATACATGCCTATAATCCCAGCAGCTCAGGAGGCTGAGGCAGGGGGATCACAAGTTCAAAGCCAGTCTCAGAAACTTACTGAAGCCCTGTCTCAAAATAAAGATAAAAAACGCTGAGGAGGTAGCTCAATGGCAAAGTACCCCTGAGGTTCAATCCCTAGCACCCTAAAAAGAAACACATACCTTAAATGCATACTATGTTTTGCAGATACTTCATATCTCATGATCTCATTTTAAAATATCTCCAAACCACTTAGAACCCCTATATGCCTTCATGAACCTCCAACAGGACAAAAGAAATTTGCTACTTCTGCTGCTAGAATGAAGTCATCCAACAAGCTCAGAGCTGCCAACATTTCTCTGAATAGCCCTGGCAACCCAACTTTACCACTAATACTAAAAACAAACCCTGGTGCATCAATTCCATTATTTCAATTTCAACTGTGTCTGCTAGAGTTCCATATTAATGCTCCCCAAAATCCTAATTAAAAAATGTCATTCTGGCTTTCAGACTCAAGAGTGGATAGCCATCATCTCACTGAAAGATCAAACAGAAACAATATAAATAATCACAGATGAGTGAGCCAGGCACCAAGGAATGAAAAAAACATCAGGGATTCACCCACACCACCTCCAGTGATCACTGAGCTATTGTGAGGATAGGATACCCCTCATCTTTCTCCAGATCATCACCAGCGTACACTTTCGGTCTCTTCCTAAGCAGCAGTCCTTCAGGTTCCAATAGCAACGAAACACGAATAGCAATTTTTTTGCTTTAAAAGTCCATCACAATCCCCATTTACCAACCTGTCTCTAAGCAAAGCCCCTTTTAAATGAACATAATACACTGAACTTCAGAAGAGTCCAATCAGGACAGAATAATACCAGATTATCACCATCTTGCTGTAGCTACAAGATTTCTAATAATACCCTCAACCATCATCTTGGACGTGGGAACTAGCCAACCTTTGTTAGCTCTGCCACAGAAATAAGACTAGATTTCAATTAACCAATGAATATGGCTTTACTCTGTTCCAGTGATGAATCAGAACAGCAGTTTCCAGAAAAAAATACAACTGGTCTGTTTTTAGAGAAGTAGCCGTTGCCCAACTGTTATTTTCCCCAAGACATCCACCATACTTTCCTCTAATTTTTACCAGCCATGGACAAGAGTAGATAGTTGGTTGATATACTTACTGTCTGCTGTCTGCTGATTTCGACCACCGTCATGCCCATTCTACAAGGAACAGAAGAGAAAATAAGTCAACCCACACATCTACTCAAATGATTATCTATTTGACATTCTACTGAGACTCAGAGACAACCATATGAAGTATAGGTTAATGGAGGGGCAAACTGTCTATTTTATTCTGGTTTGTATGTTTGTTTGTTTTTAATAAAAGAAAAAATAATCCAACAAACAAATGAGCCCCAAGGAACCAATATTTTTGAAACTAGATTGAGTATTTGTGGAAATAAAAAGGATAGAGGAAGCAATTAATCAGTCCTAAAACAATTATTAAAATATCCAACTGAGACAGGTGTGATAGCACACACGGGTCATAGTAGCAACTCAGGAAGCTCCACCAGGAAGATCACAAGTTCAAGGTCAGCCTCAGCAAATTAGCAAGGCCCAATCTCAAAACAAAAAATAAAAGGATTGGGGATGCAGCTCAGTGGTTAAGCACCCCTGGGTTCAACCTCCAGTACATTCCCGCATTCTCCCAACACACAAACTACACCATTTCAATGTATACATTGAAATCTTCAGGCACTTTCCTATCTAGGGCAAGTTTTATCTCCTGGATGTCATGTGTGCAAAAAAGAAAACATGTGCAAAATAGAACAAAAGAAAACTTTATATCACTTAAAAAAAATGGGCCTCAGAGAAAAAGACATGAGACCTCAAAATAGATTTTCTGAAGGAGGAAGTACAAAGTGAGGATGATGTGAACCCTGAATCAAAATTCAAAACCTGAAAACAACTGGTATGAGGAAATTGCGAACATTTCAATGGAACTAAGGTGCAAATAAATGCATTTTTAAAAAATATTTTTAGTTGTAGATGAACACAAAACCTTAATTATATTTATTTTTATGTGGTGCCAAGGATTGAACCCAGTGCTTCACATATGCTAGGAAAGGACTCTACCATTGAGCCTCAACTGAAGCCCTGAAAAAGGCATTCTTAGAAATGATGCTTGCCTCTACAGAGCAAGCCAGGGAACCATGGCATGGCACAATCAATAATAGATACCACAAGGCTTAGCCATTGTCCCCAGATAAGGGGAGGAACTTGAAAAAAGCTACAAGGCACATTCCTTTTTGCAAATTTCAAAACTATTAAAGAAAAAGATTTTATGTCTGTGGCCTATGTATTAACCCAAATCTAATACAAATCATGACTACTGAACTTACTAACAATATTCTCTATTATCCAAATAACCTGTAATTATTAAAAGAAATGCAGACAGTAGGGGGGAAAGAGGGGAGAGAAAGGTATACAGTAATAATAGAATGACTAGGGGGAAAAAGAAACCTCATAGTTAAATAAAAGTTTATAGTTAAGGAAAAGGTAACACAACATACCACATCAAATATAGAAACTGTGTGGAGACTAATGAAAAGTCTAGTGTCCATCCTTGAAACTAGGGTTCACTCACCACTAAATATATTTGTATGATTTTCTAACAGGTGAATTCTAAACAGTACAAACCATAAGATTTAAAGAAGTCGTTCCAAGTCATGTGGGATGGTGCACACCTATTGTCCCAGTGACTCAGGAGGCTGAGGCAGGAGGATGGAAACTTTGAGGAAAAGGCTGGGGTTGTAGCTCAGTTTGTAGAGCACTTGCCTTGCACATGTGAGGCACTGGGTTTGATCCTCTGCACCACATAAAAACAATATAAAGATATTGTGTCTATCCACCATAAAAAAATAATAAAAAGAAAAAAAGTTTGATGAGAGTCTTAGTGAGGCCCTAAGTAATTTGGCAAGACTCTGTCTCAAAATAAAAAATAAAAAGGACTGGAAGTGAAGTTTAGTGGAAGAGCACTTGCCTTGAATTTGAGTGGCCCTGGATTTAATACCCAGTATTCAAACTAAATGAATGCAATAAAATGCAAACAATTGACAAATTGATAAAGGTGGATTTTATGCAGAAGAACGGCAGAAGCAAAAGCAAAAAAGTATCAAAGGGTCCAGCAGAGAAAAAAAATCCACAGAAGAGGGCCGGGGTTGTGGCTCAGTAGTAGGGCACTTTTAGCACGCATAAGGCACTGGATATATATTCCCTGGCACCACATAAAAATGAAAACAAATAAAATAAACGTATTGTGTCCATCTACAACTAAAAAAATATATATATTTTTAAAAGTTTCTTAAAAGTCTGTAGAAGAGCTAAGCACTATGAAACAGGAACTCAGGAGGCTGAGGAAGGAGGATTGCAAATTGGATACCAGCCTCAGCTGGGACCCTCTCTACAAAATGAAAAATAAAAAGGGCTGGGAATATAGCTCAGTGGTAGAGTGCCCTGGTTTCAAGTTGAAGTCCCAGTACCACACATACACAAAAAAAATCTACATGAGAGATCAGAAATCAAGTAGCTAACTTAGACACAGTGGCAAGTCTCTATAATTCCAGCAGCTCAGGAAGCTGAGACAGGAGGAATGCAAGTTCAAAGCCAGCCTCAGCAATGGCGAGGCATTAAGAAACTCAGTGAAACCCTGAAAATAGGGCTAGGAATGTGGCTTAGTGGTCAAGTGCCCCTGACTTCAATCCCCATAACCCAAAAAAATAAACAACAACAAAAACCCTCACATTCAAACCTGACAGGCATAGAAGAAAACAGTATGGCCTGGAAGTTCCTTAACCTCTACTATGCCCAGGAAACTGTCATCATTAGATACAGCTACTGATAATCTAGATCTGACTTGAAACTTGGCCAATAAAGAAACATTTTCCCTGGAGGCACATGATTGTTTAACTTTAAAGCTGTCTAACTTGGGAGTGGGGGGACAATAAAACACACTAAGCAAAAAGAAAAGGAAAAAGAAACGATTGGGGGCTGGGGTTATAGCTCAGCAGTAGAGTGCTCCCCTAGCACAGGCGAGGTCCTGGGTTCGATCCTCAGCACCACATAAAAATAAATAAAGACACTGTGTCCCAATTACAACTAAAAAATAAATATTAAAAAAAAGAAAGGTATCTTAAAAGAAAGAAAGAAAAAATTAGAGTATATATCATTTGTAAAGCTCTGACAAGTTTCTACAGATCTAGAAGACCATGCCAATGTTTATAGGTACATTCCTAGGGCTCTATATATGCTCAGGAACGACTTGGGAAGCCCTCAAGCTCACATCTATGACTTATGCGCAAGTAGGAAGTGAAAGCTAAGGTAGAGTCTGCAACAGTTTGGCTGTATGTTAAAAGGCATGCTCCAACACACAGACAGCCTCTTCACAAAGCCCAGGTAATCCACTGATTCCAGCAAATTAAGGAAATCTCTGTATAATCACTAGCTGACAGAATAAAGAATTCACTGGCTATAAGAAAAAATAGAGGTATTATAAAATTAGTCTAAAATAAAGACACTGGGCTGGGGATATGGCTCAAGCGGTAGCGTGCTCGCCTGGCATGCATGC